TCATGATGAATGCGATGAACAACCAAGGATATGAAAAACAACATTATGAAACTATTTTTATGTGAATGAAGGTGAAATGTATATATATATATATATATATATATATATATATATATATATATATATATATATATATATATATATCATTATGTTTACGTTTGTATGATCTTTCTTTTTAAAAGATTTCATGAACTTTTTGGAATCTTTCCACTTTGTGAAGTGAGCTTAAAATATTGACGTATTGTTGATAGGTGAAGATGTAGGGGCTGTTTGATGATTATTGTTTGAGTCAGATCTAATTGAGTTAATGTCTGATTAAGTCAGATTCAACTTCTTATCGGACCCAATAAAAGACATTGAAGATGATATATGACCAAATTAGAAGCTTATAATTATGGTATAAACATTCGACAATTGTATCGTATGTATGTCGGGAAATATATATTTATAAGGGTAGTGGTATTATTTATTATGATTTCCATGAATTTCAATCCAATTTACAATGAGAGTAGTGGGTATGTATGAGTACGACTGGAACTTGGTGAGAAAGCCAAAAGAACAAGTCAACAATGGATTAAAGTAAAATGGTACAAAAAATAATGTAATATATAAATAGGATTTTACGTTGGGTTAGAGATGCTTAAAAAATAATTAATTATTTTAATGAGTAATTATATCAAACGTCTCAATTATAATTATATATAGAATAATAAACTAATAAAAATATATGTCTACACTTAATTACACAAAAACAAAAGATTAAATATCTAAAATAACCCGACTTTATCATTTTGTTATTTGAATTACTGCAAAATAACTCTTTTTTTCATGCAAACTCGCTTCCAAGCCAAATTCATCTTTTCTTTTTTCTCAAATCTTTCCGCATCTGGGTGAATTGGGCCTTTCGATTTTATAGACAATAACCATCAATATGATATGATGGTGATTACCTGACATTGGAACACTTTAAATGAATGAGTTTTAAGTTTTCAAATTCCAAAAAACTCAGCCTTAAAATGGTCGACGCTAAAAGAAAATTTACATATAGTAACATTTTATTTAGAATTACCCAGATTGTGTAACTTGTAAGAATAAATAATATTATGAGAGTAGCGGTTTATTGATTGGGAAATTGCATGACATTCTAATCAAATTTATAATGAGGTTAGTGGCCTAGTGGGTACTATGGGAACTTGGGGAGAAAGCCAAAGGAAGAGTTCAACGATGTGATATAATATAGCCCTCAATTTTTATTTATTTCACTTTAGACCCCTATAATTATATTTCTCGTTTCAGAAAAGTAATGTTAAGCTTTGTAACATATTATCCTGTTTATCAAGAAAAAAATGACAATGATCTAACCTTTTTTTTTTTTTCATGAAGAACGCCACCCTTTTTTTTATGTCAAAATGTCACAAAAGAGCACTTTCGACTACCACCCCTCTTTATTACAAGGTTAACTATAATAAATTAACATTTTTGTTATATAAAAAACACAATAAATGCTTTACAAGGCTTTAAATTAACAATAGTTATTTAAAGTTGCTGTTTTTTTTAGTTTCATCCATAAATTTTCTTCACACCATACATTTTCATTAGGTTATACATCAAATATAACATTGCAATCAGTGGCGGCCCTGGGGTAGTGCCGGCGGTGCGGTCGCACCAGGCCTCCGATTTTAGGGGGCCTCCGATTTTTAGGATAATTTATAGTTATAGTATTGGTATTTTTGTAAAATCTATTTTTATGTTTTATCAATAAATAAAATTAGCCCGGTAACTTTTGGTTCCAATTTTAGATGCGTTTTAACATTTAGCCTCCGATGCGTTTAAATTACCGAAACAAAGTCTCACTTTAAAATCATTGTCAATCACAAGGTGGGAAAGTAGGATCCTGAAATAGTAAAAGCTCTGCATAAACTTGTTGAAGAAGAGACAGACATAAAGATCATAAGTGAAGCTACTTGTCTAGCAGAGTATGAACTTGACATATTTGACTTTATAACATGTATGGTTATATGGTATCATATATTGGCTAAAGTAAATAACGTGAGCAAACAACTTCAGTCTGAGACTATGCGTATTGATGAGGCAATGAGTAGTGTGGGAGCACTTATTGAGTTTTTTAAAGACTATCGAGAGAATGAGTTTGGGAAGGCTTTGGATTGTGCGAGAGCTATAGCTTCTGATTTGGAAATTTATCCAGTGTTTGTTGAGAAAAATAATAAAAGAAAAGTTGTTAAAAAAAGATATTTTGATGAGAATGACATTGGGTTATCAGAGCCGGTACATGAACTTTCACCTCCAGAGTCATTTAGGATTCAATATTTTGTGTACATAGTTGATCAAACTATTGGTTCATTGGAGCGAAGGTTTGAACAATACAAACAATACGAAGACATTTTTGGTTTCTTATTCTCAACAGAAAAGTTGAAGTCAATGAATACGAGCGAGTTAAAGTAATGTTGCAAAAATATGGAAAAGAGGCTGCAAAATGGTCATATCTCAGACATTAATGCTGATGATTTATTCAACAAACTGGAGTTGTTACAAAAACATTTACCGGTTGAACACAATACAGCTAACGGAATACTAAATTTCCTAAAAATGATTAACACTTATCCAGTTTCTTGTCTAGCATACAGAATATCGTTGACTGTTCCTATTACAGTTGCATCAGCGGAAAGAAGTTTTTCAAAACTAAAGCTTTTAAAATCTTATTTGCGCTCGACCATGTCTCATGAGAGATTAAACGCTTTGGCATTGATTTCGATTGAGAATGTGTTTCTTGAGAATATTGATTATGAAAGTCTCATAGATGAATTTTCTTCTAAAAATGCTAGAAGGTCAATGTTTACAAAATAGTAATGCGTTGTTTTTTTTTTTTTTTGAAAAGTTGTTTATAACAGTTTTACAGTTTTATTTGATTACCAATGAGTGATGAAGACATTATTTTGTGGTAGTGAATTTATGAGATGTTTTTTAGCAACTTTATGTTTTGAATTAGTGGTAGCAAATGTAGTTAATAATATTTACAAGAGAATTTTTGTGGGGCCTCATTTTAGTTTTTGCACAAGGCCTCCGAAATATCAGGGTCGGGCCTGATTGCAATTATCTTAAAACATAAGAATTTATTAAATAAAAATATATTATCTAAAAAATGAACAACATAACAACCTTGAATGTATGTCAAACTCAGAGCCGGTCCGTTGATTTTGAAGGCCCTGTGCAAAAAAAAAATGGGTCCCTAAATTTCGTATTAACAACATATAGCAATATAAAGCGACGTCGTTTTTTAAATAAATAAATAAATAAATAAATCATATTCATGTGATGTTTTATCAAATTTCGCGAATGTTATAATTGTTTGTTCCAATTCTTTTGTGATGTTTGATCAAATTTCGCGAATATTATAATTGTTTGTTCCATTTCTTTTGATTCTTCACTTTATTATATGATATTAAATCAAATCTCAGTTTGTGTTTAAGAAATTATATGGTAATCATTCAAACAGATCAAACGATATTTTTTAGTAATATCTACTAAAAAAATATAATTAATTTCCAACAAAACCCACTGAAAGCGTTCACACACATATAGATATGGGTGGTTGGAGAAATGTAAACAATCTAGATGTTGAATCAAAGGAACATGTAATAAAAATTCACAGAAAGCTATTGGACCTCGAACATTTGTGATGGTGGATTCAAAACAAGGAAATGAGTAAATAGTTTTTTTTTTCATTTTGTAGCGCATGCAAAGGACTTTAAAAAAAAAAAAAAACGAGCACACTAAAGGACTCGAACCTGGGTGGTGATATCTAATTGTAAAATGACAAGCGCCTTACCAAATGAACTACATGAAACACTTAAATAGAAATGAACGCAACATTATATATACAAACATTAAATAATGATTTGGCTAAATTTCGGGCCCTATTTTCTTCGGGGCCCTATGCGGTTGCACACCTTGCACTCCCCTAGGACCGACCCTGGTCAAACTTGAACAATTATCTCATTATGTTAACCTATGATCATCATTTAAAAAAAAGATATGTTAGTAAATACTTTCTTAACCATATTTAGAAAACAATTAATTTTGGAATAATTATACTAAATTTCATGGCACATAGATCATCGTTTTAAAATCTACAATTTTAAGATATTATAAATGAAAAATGATCTCGTTGACAGTAAGACCCATTCTAAAGTAGGATTTGTAGTAGGATCTTACGCTTCCAATTAAATAGTAGTTATATGTGACCTCATCTCTTTAATTAGCATTTATTATACAGTGAAACCTTTAAAATTCCGAATCTTATGAAATTCACCATTTTTCCTATATCCAATGCAAAGACTAAAAAGTTGCACATTCAAATCATCAAAAACTTGAAAAAACATCACAACATTATTTATTTAGAGCACAACGACATGCATGTTACTCTCTTTCTGGTCTTGTGCAATTAGTTGTACATGGCCACAATAATCTTGTTTCAATTTCACGATTAAGATGTTTTCTTTGTAACTACGGTGATTTGCATCTACAAAAATTAGGGTCGTTGTCTAAGATATTAAATTTATTTCCTCATGCTTGAACAATATCAACTTTCATGGCTATCGTACAAACAATACCTTGTGATCAAATTTGAAGCTTTCAAATTCGGGTCCAATTTCACAATCCCGATTTTTCAAAACGTAAAGGGATTATAGATAATATTTCAATCTTGATAACCTTGGTATAATTGTTTTTACAAATATATAAGTATTTTCATTTTTAGAAAAATGTGTAGCAGCCGTATAATGATATATCATATCATGTTTTTTTTTTCTCTAAGTATTTAAGATTGTAACCGAAAAAGAATGCAAGGGTTAAACAGTAATACTTTCTAAGTCAAAAGGCAATAAGTTCGAAGTTCTTCAATACCTCGGGGACTTTTCAGCAATTCATCCAAATGCAAGCTACAAATACCCCGAACGTGAAGACGAAGGTGGTAAGAAGTAAGAACATCTCGCCACCAGATTCCTCCTCCCTCAGTTCTCGATCAATCTTCGTCGGAGAAAAATTATGGCCGGAAACGTTGAGGTTTTGCCGAAAGAGTACGGCTACATCGTTTTCACCATCATTGCCTACGGTTTCGTCAACCTGTATATGCAGATTCAAGTCGGCAAGGCTCGAAAGAAGTAATATTTTCACACAAACACACACACACACACACTCAATTTGATTCTATTCTATCTTTACCTAATTTGAAACTTAACAAGTTTTGCTGATGAAGGTATAAAGTGTGGTTCCCAACACTCTACGCCACCGAAGCTGATACCAAGGATTACAAAATCTTCAACTGTATTCAGGTTTGTAAGAATGAATCACTTGCTTATTTAGAAGATTCAAAAATCATTTCTGATGGAGTAATTTTGGGTTTGTTTGCAGAGAGGGCATCAGAACTCGCTTGAGTCTGTACCGATCTTCTTTGTTTTTATGGTTTTGGGAGGGATTCAACACCCACTTATATGCTCGGCTCTGGGATTAGTTTACTCAGTCAGCCGATTTTTCTATTTCACCGGTTATTCCTCCGGTAATCCTAAGAGACGTATGCCAATTGGGTATGTGGATTCTACTTATAGTTATAATAAACTCTTGTGTATTTGCTGAAGACTTTTGACTTTAATTTGAAGATACTTTGGTTTGCATGATCTGTTTGCAGGAAATACAACAGTGTTGCATTGGTGGGGCTTCTGTTAGCTAATATTTCGTTCGGGGTGAATCTTATCAGGGCATAAATCATAAGAATCGTCAAGAAAACCATGTCCTTTTGACGCTTTGTTTTGGTATTAATGTTCATAGGAAGTAAATGGTGATTTTAAATGGCCCTTGGCTTTTAAGCTGTTGTTGACGTTGTAGAATATAGTTGTAAACTTGTAATACAAAAGAAGGTGTCTTGGAATGCATAGTTCCAACTTCCAACTTCCAAGAGCTTTGTATTAGTGTCGGTATATGTTATATTATAAGCCCGGAGTTTTTTATGTTTCTTAGGGTGATCATTTGGACTTGTGGACCGGTGAATCGGATCGGACCGTTTTTTTGGACCACCGGGCTGGTTCTCGGTACTAGCATTTGAGCAAAACCGGTCCCTTTTTTTTACCTGTCCAGTTCCGGGTAAAATCCGGTTTTTGACTTACATATTTTAAAAAAGTTTGTATTATGTGAAATTCTTTAAACAAGCATATCTCATTGGTTTTAATTCGGATTGACATGCGGTTTTTTCCAACATGTAATTTAGAGTTTGTAGATTATTTTAAACTATTATTTTCTTGGGTTTTGTTGTTATATTCGATGAGTTACAATCTTTCAAATATGAGATATCAAAGCTGAAATATTTTAGCTTTTCAGTAAGAAATTTAAACTTTTGTATTCTATGAAATTCTTTAAACAGACAAATCTAATTCGTTTGAAGTCGGATTGACATGCAGTTTTTCCAACATGTAATTTAGAGTTTGTAGATGATTTTAAACTATAATTTTCTTGTTTGTGGTGTTATATTCGATGAGTTACAATCTTTCAAATATGAGATATCAAAGTTGAAATATTTTAGCTTTTCAGTAAGAAATTTAAACTTTTCTATTCTGTGAAATTCTTTAAACAAACGAATCTAATTTGTTTTAAGTCGGATTGGCATGCAGTTTTTCCAACATGTAATTTAGAGTTTGTAGATGATTTTAAACTATAATTTTCTTGTTTGTGGTGTTATATTCGATGAGTTACAATCTTTCAAATATGAGATATCAAAGTTGAAATATTTTAGCTTTTCAGTAAGAAATTTAAACTTTTCTATTCTGTGAAATTCTTTAAACAAACGAATCTAATTTGTTTTAAGTCGGATTGACATGCAGTTTTTCCAACATGTAATTCAGAGTTTGTAGATGATTTTAGACTATAATTATGTAGTTTTTAGTGTTATATTCAATGAGTTACAATCCTTCAAAGATGAGATAGCAAAGCTGAAATATTTCAGCTTTTCAGCAAAAAATTTAAACTTTTGTATTCTGTGAAAATTTTTAAACAATAATATCTCATTCGTTTTAAGTAGGGATGTCAAAAACCCCCGCGGGACCCCGATACCGTACGGGAGTAATTTTTAAAAAAATTCGGGAGCGGGAGCGGGGGCGAGATTAACCCCCGGTTATTTTCGGGACCGGGGTCGGGAGTGAGTATTTCCGTCCCGTACTCCCGCGGGGGCCCCGTTATATTTATATAAAAAATATATTTATTTAATATAAAATAGAAATGGGTTATGGGGGAAACTGATTTTAATATTAGGGCTTCACAATTCACAAATCACCGATGCCATACGCTTTATTCGGTCTTCCCTTCCTCTTCCCAAAGACCCAAAGTCCAACTCCAAACATTGAACGACGACTGTCAAGACTCAATCGACGATCGACTAGCAGGCAGTAGAAATCGACCATCGACTCAATCGACGACGACTGGAGAGTGGATATTGACGACGTCGACGAGTCAGTCAATTACTCAATCGGCGATTTCTCCAACAAAAACGCGACCGGCGACTGTGACTTCACGATTTCGATTTCTCGCCTCCCAGTTGACTTCTCCACCAGAAATCGGAGGTAAGTTATTTAAAATCTGAATTTAAGGTTTGCAGTTTGCAGTTTCTCGCCTCTCAATTTCTATATCTCAATGTCGAGTCTTCACAGTTCGACTGCTAGTCTGCGACTACTCCACCTAAGACGCGACTGTGAGTCTGTGACTTCAAGATTTCTGTTTCTCGCATCCCAGTCGACTTCTCCACCAGAAATCGGAAATAAGTAATATAGTCATGTGTATTTTGACTTTTTGTGGTTTTTTGTTGACTGTTGTTGACTGCTAGTTTGTTGTTCACTATATTTCATGATATACTCATGTTTATTTTGATTGGTTGCAAATCTGAATTTGTTCACTGCTCACTGTAATATAGTCATGTTTACATATTGTAGTTGTTCACTATATTTCATGATATACTCATGTTTACATATTGTAGTTGTGTAAAGATTGTAGTTGTGTAAAGATTTTAGTTGTGTACAGGTTTTATAGTGGTTGTTTACAGATTATGGGATCTTACTGTAGTTATTTACAGAGTGTAGTTGTGTACAGATTTTGCTATTTCTATGAAAAAATAATGTTGATTAGTATATTTTGTGTGAACCATTTTCAGATTTTTGTAGTTATGTCTTCAGCAGAGCCGAATCAACCCAATGATTCAACCACGGTTAATGATACCGCCAATTCTGCAGTTAACTGTAGCGCGAAACAAATGAAATTTATATCTCCAATGTGGCGTCATTTCACCTATGAAGAAGTTAATGGAACCAAAATGGCGGTTTGTAAGTATTGTAGAAAGGAAATTACTTATACAACCAAAAATGGAACCAAAGGGATGCATTCTCACCATAAGTCATGCAAAATACGAATTGGGCAAAAGAAAATTGATGATTTTCAGAGTCGGTTAACCGGAAAAAGATCTAAGACGGATGAAAGTGGGGGATCAATTTTAGCAACACATCGGTTTAATTATGACGATTCGCGAACCGATCTTGCTAAAATGATCACAAAACATGATTACCCACTTAGAATTGTTGAACATGAAGGCTTTAGAGATTTTTGTCAAGGGCTCCAACCACTTTTTTGGCCTATTTGTAGAAACACAGCTAGATCTGATGTCATGAAGTTGTAAGGTGAGGAGAAGGCAAGGATGATGCATTTTTTGGAGAGTATTCAAGGTAGGATTGCAATAACTACCGACATGTGGACTGCCAACTACCAAAAAAAGAGGATACATGACAATGACGGCCCATTTCATTGATGATTCTTGGCAATTACAAAGTCGTCTTTTGAGGTAATACTTAATTTATATTAATTTGTTTAATCTATCAGTATGCATTCTTTAATTAAATTGAATTTATTTTGTTAACTGGTAGGTTTATATATGTGCCATATCCCCATACTGCTGAGAAACTAACTAATGTGTTGATGGATAGTTTGTTGGACTGGAACATAGATAGAAAATTATCAACTTTAACTGTTGATAATTGTTCAACAAATAATTGCATGATAGATTTGATGGTAGACAAACTTCCTTTTGATAGCTTGATTTTGGGTAGAAGCTTGTTTCATATGCGATGTGCTGCACATATTTTGAATTTAATTGTGAGAAGTGGGTTGGATGTTTTTGGAAATAGGATTGAGAAAGTGCGTAACAGTTGTAGTTTTTGGACAGCTACACCAAAAAGACTTGATACATTTCAAAAAAAAATGCAAAGTTTGAGAATGTTTCTTGTGAAAAAAACCTAGTTGTTGACTGTAAAACACGATGGAATTCTACGTATTTAATGCTTTCCACAGCTTTGAAATACAAGAAGGTGTTTTATCGGTTACAACAACGTGAGCCCCAATATAAGAGTGCGCCTGATGAGAAAGAGTGGGCTTTGGCAAGTGAGCTTTGTGATAGACTAAAAATCTTCTATAATGTCACAGAATTATTTTCGGGGACAAAATATCCAACAACCGACATTTTTTTCCCCAAAATATGTGAAATAAAGATTGCTCTAAAGAAATGGGATACATCTAGTTTCATTGAAATAAGCGAAATGTCCGAAAATATGATTACAAAGTTTGATGAGTATTCGAAAGAAAGTCACGGGGTGCTGGCTATGGCGACGATATTGGATCCAAGGTTTAAGATGAAGCTCCTAGAGTATTTTTTTTGTTCCCATTATCTATGGAGTAGATAATGCAAAAGATGAAATTCAGAAAGTGCGTCAAATTTGTGAAGATATATATATATATATATATATATATATATATATATATATATATATATATATAGATATATATATATATATATATATATATATATGTGATATGAGTCAAGCGTTATCAGTCAAGCAAGTAATGATGATATTACTAGTAAGCCCACTTCTAGTCGAGATGCAGCTCCTGGAAGTGACATGGACTCATTAGATGCTTTCTTTTCATGGAATTCTTCTACTAGTGAAGTTTTTGTAAAAAATGAATTAGAAAGGTACTTAGAGGAAGGCACTTTACCCCAGATTCATGAGTTTGATGTGTTAGGTTGGTGGAAGTTAAATGGGGTTAAGTATCCTACATTGTGTTTGATTGCAAAAGACATATTAGCCATTCCTATCTCCACTGTTGCTTCAGAGTCTTCTTTTTCTACAAGTGGTAGAATCGTTGGTCCACATAGGAGTAGACTTCTTCCGTCAACAATTGAAGCTATCATATGCACTCAAAATTGGCTATGGGCGGGTAAAAAAGGTATGTATGAATTTGCTTGAACCATTATTTGTTTTTTTCATTTTAATATATTTTTCTTATTACCTTTATTTTTTTTCTTGGTTAGGTTGTGTTATTGATGGTGATGATTTACATTCCGATGAAGACGACGAGGGAATTGAGGTAAAATTATTAAATTTGTCGTTTTGTATTGAATAAACTAAGATAACAATTTATTTTATTATTATTTTTGTTATTTATTTAGGGAGGATATTCAAATGTCAATGAATGAAGGGTTGAAGGAAATTAATGGATATTGAAGATGTAGGACATGTTGGTATTTTATATTTGTAATTTTGGATTTGTCGTATTTTGCATTTGTAATATTGGATTTATCTTTGTAAGATTGTTGGAATTGGTGTTTTGTACTGTTGGATTCATAATGTTGGATTTTTAACTTTTTTTTTTGTTTCTAAAAGATTAGGTTTTAAGCTTTTTAAGTTATTAAAAATAGTCTTTTTAGTCTAAAACAAAGCAAATTTTTACCAAAAAAATCCATTTTTAAGCCCATAGACCGGGGGAACGGGGGCGGGACCGGGGGCGATGGAGGTAACCGGGAGCGGGACCGGGGACTGTTTAAACGGGGGAACCGGGGGGGGGGGGGGACCGGGGGGCGGGGGCAACAAGTGATTTCGGGAGCGGGGGCGGGGGCAGCTATTCCCGCTCCTGTTTGGCCCCGTTGACATCCCTAGTTTTAAGTCGGATTGACATGCGTTTTTTTCCAACATGTAATTTAGAGTTTGTAGATAATTTTAGACTATAATTTTGTTGTTTTTGGTGTTGTATTCAATGAGTTACAATCCTTCAAAGATGAGATATCAAAAGCTGAAATATTTCAGCTTTTCAGCAAAAAGAAATTTAAACTTTTGTAGTTTGTGAAATTCTTTAAAAAGGCATATCTCACTCGTTTTATGTTAGATTTTTTTTGGAACGTTAAATACAATATATTTCTAAACTACTGTAACATCCCAAATCCAGAAGTATGATTGAAGGGCTTAAAGTGTAAATTAAGGAAGCTACTCGACTAGTAGGTATTCTTACTCATCGAGTCGGAGCGGGATTTGGTCGCGAGTTAAGTGGCCAACTCGCCGAGTCGGAAGCTGGACTCGACAAGTTGGTGCTGGAATGAGAAAAACCTAATCTCGAGGGTTGCACCCTATTTAAAGGACTTTATGTCCTTCTCTCAGCCTCCTTATTGCCCTTGAGAACCAGAAAACCCTAAACTCATGTGTGTGAGGCCTTTGGAGGGAGATTGAAGCTTTGGAAGTTGTCCTTTGTGGAAGAAACTTGAAGATCAAAAAGGGCTTGCATCAAGGGAGTGGTGTAGATCCCGAATCTACTTCAGTTTGGGCACATCTTGGAGGTAATAAGCTGTTACCTTCACTCTTTTGCATCTAGATATATTCATGAAAGAGATTTGGAGCCATTTTGGTAAGTTTGAGATCTATTTCGGGTTTGGAGTTAGATCTGAAGTTGCTACTTCAGATCTAGACTTGTGTTGGTCCAGAATGTCATAAAGCATCAGTCAATAAGTTGTTGGTGAAGCCCCTTTGTCTTAAACCCAAGCCCTAGAGTGATTTGGACCTTTAACTCCTTGGTTTCACGTAAAGTTTGCAACTTTACGTAGGGGTTATGCCCTAGAAGAGTGGATCTACAGTTTGGAGCCCCTGCATGGGTCGAAAAGCCTCTGTATGGATGAAGGACTAAAGGGACTCGGCGAGTCACATGGGTGGACTCGGCGAGTCATATGAAGATGGGCATGGACTCGACGAGTTGGAAGAACACCTCGGCGAGTCTGTTGAAGATTGCCTTGGACTCGGCGAGTCTGTTCTTGGACTCGGCGAGTCAGGTCGCAGAACCCCAACCTCTTTTGGTTAAGCTTCGGATCAATGAGTCAGTTGGCGACTCAGTGAGTTGGACATGATGGAATTCAGAGATCGTTGAACTCGACGAGTCTTGGGGTGACTCGGCGAGTTGAGTCGTGTTATGGGAGTTTTCTGAGTATAAGTACTCGACGAGTCGACGGGTTGACTCGGCGAGTAGAGTCAATCAGGAAGGTTGACTTTGGCAAGGACTTGGTCTTTGACCTGTTTTACCGTCAGGGGTGTTATGGTATTTTGGATATTTATGTCATGGTCCATTGATGGCATCAGGTGTTGGAGTTTGGAGCAGTGCTTCGGGCCAGTGCTTTCGTGGTTCGGTTCGGCAGTTGCAAGGTGAGTTATCCTCACTATATCAATAGGGTCTAAGGCACCAAGGCCGGTCCTTTATCGGATTTGAATCCGGGTAATTGTTTGATATGTTTTGATTTGTTAGATCTGCATCCTAGTAATTAAGATGGTATTATGTTAGTGACATGGTTTAGGTCGGTATCCTGGTATATAGGATGATGCTATGCTAGTGACCTGGTTTAGGTCGGTATCCTGGTATATAAGATGATGCTATGGTAGTGACCGGTAAGGTCGGTATTCCGGTTAGGATATTGCTATGCTATATGATATGCTGGATCGGTTGTTTAGTTGTGGATAGTTATGTGATTTCCTGTTTAGTGCACATGGTTGTTTGATTAGGGTTGGGTTGAGGCGAGTCCTGCTTTGTGCTGTAGGCCAACATACCCAGGGCGGATCGGATAGGCTGAAGGCCCCAAGAGGGCGGTCCAGACGTGCCGAGGCTCAGAGAGTGGGCCAGACAGACTGAAGGCCCGGTGCGGGCGGACCAGTCATACTGTAGACTCAGAGGGTGGAGCAGGTGGACTGAAGGCCCAGTGAGGGCGGACCAGTCACACTGTAGACCCGATATGCATGGCTGCTATGTGTTATGATATGATATGATATGACTATGGTTGTATGTGGTTGGTATTTTGGGGGAAACGCACTAAGCTTTCGGGCTTACAGTTTCAGTTTATTGTTTCAGGTACATCAGGAGATCGTGGCAAGGCAAAGGCGTGATCGTATTGCTCCTCATATTTCATGATTTTGTGATTTGGTTCTGGGGATACTTTGATGTTTAGACTATTTTGAAAACAAGTTGTAATAACTTAATGGTTTCTGAATGGGTTAAAATGTTTTAAATTGGCTTGAATTTTATGGGTGTTACAAGTTGGTATCAGAGCCTTGGTTTGAGTGAATTGGAGGAACATTCGTGTGAATCCAGTCTCAAATCAAGGGGAGTTTTCAAAATGATTTCTAAAATGATTTTCAAATGATTTTCAAAATAAGTAAAGGAGGATGCAGAGGGTACGATCAGTCGGATCCAGTAAGTAGACCCCAAAATACCATACAAGTTATTTGGTTATGCGATATGATTGGAACAGCATGCTAGTACTAGGCTAGGGATCTTCAGGAATTGCATGATAGAATTGCCTGATTTCATGATGCCTGTTAGCCTAGGGTTTTCCTTATATGAGATTGACATCATTACTGTAGTTACTTGTGTATGCATCACAGTTATATATCATTAAGATCTTATAGCCTGAGAATGTTTGATCTGGCCTGATGTTCTGTTCTTATTGATTAGGGCTTAGGGTAGAAATGAATATTCGAAAGTCTATAGGGTCCAGTGTTATGTATGGCTAGCATACACTAGTGCTGCAGGGGTTGATGAAAGTTTCATGGATGGGTGGGTAGTGAGAGGCCGGGAGGCCAGTGAGGAGATATCCAGCATTCGTCTAGAGTGAGGATTTATCGCTCGCTATGTATATGTATATTGTAGGGTGTTGTGGTGATACTTGAGACAAATATGGGTAGGTGTGGAAGGTAGTATGGGCCCGTACTACTGAAAGCACAGGACCCATACGCGTAGCAAGGAAGTCACAACCCCTAGGGTTGGGTAGGGAGTTGGACCCCTGTTATATCATGGGTTATCAGAGATCTTTCTGGTGTCTTACCAGAATGGTGGTTTACGAGACTTCTTGAGACCGGATCCAGGTTAGGATCGGTAGTTGGCAGCCAGGATAGGCCAGCATTGTTAAAGGATCGTATCGGTGAGATCATCCGGGAGGAGGTGATTGAGATTGTTCGGGGACAGTTGTCGGAGATGTTTGGGTCTATCAAGACCGTTATGGTCGAGTATTGCGACGAGCACTATACAGCTAGTGCCGAGACGATTGCCGTGGCAGCTATAACAGTTGTAACAACAGCAGGGGGAGGAGCCAGTTAGGCTTCCTAGTATCGGGACTTCAATGATGCAAAGCCCGACTTTTGATAGGGTTCAGGACCCGGTCATAGCCATGAGGTACCCTATGACGTGAAGGGATGTTGCTTCACATGGTCATGTTCTACTGAACAGAAGGTCAGGCACGCTTTGAACCTGCAAAGGTCCACGGCGAAGGATTGGTGGGGACTCGTTATTGGGACGTATTCGGAGGAGCAGAGAGCTGCAGTTACCTGGGATCAGTGATGTGTTTTGTACTTGTTACAGTCTACAGGTTAAGCGGGAGAATCTAGCACATGTGATTCTAGATTGACGCTCCGGGGGTTTTGTTCGAGGCCGGAATGTGAGTCGCGGGACTCCGGAAAGGAGTAATGATTGTGTTCAGCTGGAATTATGTAACTGGAATTAAGATGGTTTGTTGATAGGATTGGAATGTCGTTTTCTAGGGCAAGGATTGTGCCCTTTCTGTTTACGAGCTCGAAGGATTAAGCAGACTTGTGACCCCAGGATCAGGTTGTATCCTAACTCGGGGATAGTGGGTCGCCGGGGGTTGGCGACAATGGTTTAGCGCTGGTAAGGACAGGTGGGTAGATGTGGCATAAGTATTTTGGAGGTCCGTTTCACCTTGGATCTCTTGTATCGGACGGTAAGGATTGATTGTGCGATCTATTGCACTTTCGGGATTGTAGACTATGTCTTGGGAGTAGTTGTAGCCTGGTTTAGGGCAAAGGTGGTTTCAGCTACTGCAGTTCAGCTGTGGATGATTGAGCTGGTGAGTGAGCCAGGGTGCGAGGCCCTGAATGATGAGTTCTAGAGTCCAGAGCGGGAGGATTGTGGGAACGCTTTGGGAAGAAGGGTATTATTTGGGAGGTCTGTGGACAGGGTCCCACAAGATGGTTATTCATCATTGTCAGGATTCAGTGGTTTTGGTAAGCATTATTGATTGGCGAAGGAAAGCGCCAAAGGAAGTAGCTCGTTGTTGAGACACTAGTTGGAGCATTTATTTTTGGGACTTCAAGATTTGGGTGAGGGATCATTCGAGCTTCCGGGACTGTTGGGTTCCCGGGGATTAAGGAAGTG